GTTAAAACAAAACACGTTTTTGAAATAAACATTAAGGTTAACAGAAGTTTAAAAACTTACAGGTATTTTATCATGTGTGAACTTCCTGCTCTTTTCAGCCTTTTTTTCTTTTGTAACAAGATATCATTTATGTTTATTATAAAAGTAATTAAAAAATCAAAAATGTTTTGCCTAAAACTAGGATATTGGAATATCAACGGATATCATCCTTCCAGGATTATTTCTGGTTAGAGCAGGTTAACACCAGTTAGTACTTTTAAGGCTGCCATACTCTATGTGTCTGTATTTTACCATGTATATTTTAGAAATTACTTCATTTTAAGTCTATAGATGCTACATTTTCTGGGGAGCATACCCCCCTGCAAGACGCAAAATTAATGCTAGGAAACTAGTAAATTGTTGGTTATTGTTGCAGCTTTGCTAATAAGACTTAGAAGGCGCTAGAGAACAAAAATTACTTATACACATTTCAGAATAAAGATTCGCAGGTTCATAATGTCCAGTATCAATACACCGGTAATACATGCATTTTAATCAGTAATATTGCAAGATTTTACTTACTGAAGTTTATAGTGATTGTGATTAGGAAGATTAAGATTGTTTCACTTTCTGGTGCCATGCCAGTTTTGAGAACTCCATTTGAGATGCTGTTTTTTGTTTCTTAGAGCAAAGCCACATTGGGCTAGCTTCTGTGTCCCCCGTGGGGAATCGAACCGCGGATTTTAGTGTTGTAAGTCCGTAAACTTGCCGCTGTGACGGGAAATGCATGTTACACTCAGGTTAAACAAGGAAACCATAAATGTCAGGTAGTTAAACCGGTAAACTTCACGAGGCCAGTGCAGCACACTTACATGGGAGACCTTAACCATTGTTGTTAATTATTATGGAGGCTCTCAAGAGGCTGGGAAGGACCCCAGGGGCCGATGGGCCTGATTGAACTAGTAAGGCAGGCAGTTACACCCGTAGTTAAGCTCCTTCTAGTCCATCAGTTCAAAAATACGGACAGCTTTGCGCAGATAGCCCATTGTCTAGCTTTGTGCAAAAATTCTGAAGCAAGAGCAATATTAAAACAAAACTGAACTTTTATTTATATAATAGTCTATACTAGAAGAAACGTGATGTCCCTTGTTAGAGGTTGATTGCAACAGCATATGTAGTGAAGGTGATCTAAGGAAGCCAAAGAATTAGAACAGTGGTTCTCAACCTTGTTTTGTTCGCAGGTCATCTGATGTTTTTTCTTTTACATAATGGACCACAATGCGATGTATACACCGTGCTGCCACTTCCTTTACATAATTATGAAGTCTTTCCCCGAACCACTGAACTGGAAGAGAACTTAATGGAAAATTTCACAGCTTTTAAATGTTCCGTTGTTGATTTCGAACTTGTTTGACAAATAAATTAGTAACGTCCCTATCAATTTAGCGAGATTACGTCGATATCTCTCTTTCTATGACTAACTATAAAAGGCTTATTCCCTTTGTCGCTCTGTCAAAAGTGGTTTCACGTTCCTTTTTTGGTAATACTCAACAATATACATCGTCACTTAGCAACAAAACTATCTCGTGATTGTTAATTATGTTTATGTTGAATGCTCAATATTCATGTTGATTTGTCGGAAAGGTTTATTTTTTATTCTTTATTTTTTGACAACTTCGGTGATATATCAGCAAAATAGTTTAATTCAGAAGTTGTAGCCGAAAGCAAAATAAAATTTACCAAGTAGTGTTTCAGCAAATCCTTAAGTTACGTTTATGTATTAGGCCTAATGCTTAAATTAGACTACAAATAGGCTTACTATTGCTAACGTTATAAAGTCAGTGTTTAAAAAAGTTTTAAGAGGTGAATAAATAAATATTCTTATGGTATTTTAACAATGTATTATCAACTTGGCCTTACAAGATAAAGAAAAATGAACGTTTATTATTATTACCAAATATCTTTTATCCTTCGTTCAGTCGAGAGAGTTGAAAATTTGTGTCGGAATGTTCGCACTATGTTTTCTACTTCCTGATTTAAAATACAGTGGAAAAGGTTCAAATGTGGTGATTAAAGAATTACTTCGAAACTGATGAAATAAGTGAGTAGGTACATCTTGGAGGTACAGATAGGAACTGATGAAATAAGTGAGTAGGTACATCTTGGAGGTACAGATAGGAACTGATGAAATAAGTGAGTAGGTACATCTTGGAGGTACAGACAAATTCCTTTTAGTTAAATTCTATAATTATCGTTAATCATTCAGCAATGGGTTCCCGTAATGTTTGACGGGCTTTTATACTAGTATATATATATATATATATATATGTATATATTTATGTATATATATTCTACACTGATATAGGTTTCATATCATCTGCTAATATTCTATAAATGTGGGAGCAGGAAAAATGGAACGGATGCTATCAGGAAATAAACGAATTATTTTTCGTTGTTTCATCTTTTTTTTTCTACAAAAACTGGCTATTATTATGATCAAATCCCAGGTAGAATTCAACGTTTTTCACGGAACGTTAAAACACTATGGTGCCCGAAAGAGCCTGGGGGTCAGTGACGTTTTATGCTTATAGGTTTTATGTGGGTCGTTCACCCTCGAACATTTATATGAAGGAAATTTAGGCTGTTTTTCGAACTCTGCTTTGATATTTCTAATCAGAACATACACACACGCATATATATTGCACATACGATTTATAATGTTTTTTCGATATTATTTTGCTAAAACGACATAATTTAATTTCGCGCAATCAACACATATGTACGTATGTAGTTATTATATATATCCTGTTCCTGTGTTAATACGTTTTGTACACCTGTGTTGATTTAGATGTATATAAAATGAAATATTATACTTATATGAATATTGTTTAATATTTAATGCTCTTACCACTCGTGTTAATTCATTCAACTTAAGTATTCATTACCGAATTTGATTGGTGGATGTATGAATGTTAATTTAAATGCTAATACATATTTGATTTGATATTGTTTATGGTAAAGGGTTGTCTAGGATATACAGTAGCTCTTGTTCTCAATGTTCTGTCTGAATAAAATAAAGCTTTTTTTATGCAGCAGGTAATATAGCAAATGAAATAATATCATACAGGAAGTGATAGACGTTCTGTTTTTTTGTTTATGTAATTAACACAGAAAGTTTCTGAATGTTTAGTTCTCGTATATAACTGTTGCTTTTGTTTCCCACTTCCGTTTAAGTTCTTCAAGCTTCCTGTTGTAGGAGGCAGTAACCAAAAGATCACTGCCCTATGCCATTATTTTTGTTATTTTTTTATATTCATACAGGCATTTGATTGAGTGAGCTTGTATTTAGAGAATTTGTAAACGTACTCACCGAAGCATATTGAGCAATCAACACTAACACAGGCATAAAAACAACAACCAAATTATTAAATATTACAGTAAACAAGCATTGGTAGACACTCGTTTTTGTCGGTATTCCTTATACTGCGGTTGTTAACTACATAGCAAGGTAAAACGCTAACATTAATAATCGCTCTTCTTGATTTATAAATCAAGTTTTTACTAACTCACCTTTATAGACAAAAGGTGTGATAGTAAACAACATATTAAAGTGATATTGATCATTTCTTCCAGGGTCCATCGACCTTTTATCATAATATTTTCACCGTAACTCCATTTAATGGCAAAACGCAGTTGATAAGTGATTGAAAGGCTTATTTAAAATAATATAAACTCGATACTACAGAGACAACAGGTTAAGAATTTTCTACTGCTTGTCATTTTGAAATGTTGTAGGTCAAGAACCAATTGAAATCATTAAAGAAAAGCCAATAACTTTATGGTATTACACCCACATTCGCTAACAGATCGAAACATAACCACACACGTTAGTGGTATTACACCCACATTCGCTAACAGATCGAAACATAACGACACACGTTAGTGGTATTACACCCACATTCGCTAACAGAATATTTAGAAGATGCAATAGAAACATTGGTAAAAATTATAACTACACTGAATATTTTTTCTTACTTTTTATTCAAGATAAAAACTAAAATAACTAACGCGGTGGTAACATAAAGATGCGAAATTTGTGTTGCGCGCCTGTATTTCGTCTTGCGCACGTGACACATCGTCTGTAGCCGACTTTACATTTAAAACTAAACATTAGCTCAGAACTATCCTAGCTAAAAAGGTATTATGACGTATAGACACACTACACTAACTGGCTTATAATGACGAAAACGAAGGTTTTATAGCTTTCAGTTGCGTTGTTTTCTGCAGTAACCCGGCTTGATGCACACACAAAGTCGTGGAAGTCGATTACCGTGACAAGGACGGTAGATGAGCGTTGATTGCGTAACGTATAAGAAGTCACGCGAGTCTGTCGGTAAGTCGCCTGCTTGGGAGGATCGTGCTTTTTCCGGTATATAAAACCCGAATTGTGCATTCCATAGTGTATATTTTATTGTAACATTTATTACAGTCGTACAAAACGAGCACGTCTAGGTCAAATTAATGACAATTTTGATGTCAACTGAGCAAAATAAGTAGTTTGTGAGAAATTTCGAGTCACTCAGGAGATATCTTCACGAACACGGAAGTACTTTCGTCAGTGCAAGCCAACCCTACTGAAACAAGCAGTAAGTACACACGGAGCCTAAGTTTTAGGAGTTTATCGTGCAGACAACCAGACAGGGTATGTGTACAAATGTTTTTGTGACTGATATATCTAGAAAGCATGACGTCAAGATGTCGGGTAGCAACAATGTAAATAAATATTATATACATAGTTCGGGGATAAAAACAAACAAACTCGTTTGAAATAGTTCGGGTCTGGATAAAATATACAGTTTTCATAAATTGAATTTATATACACTATGATTGGTAAAAATAAAAGTGCAATATAATACTGCTATTAAGTTAATATTCTCTGTCATTAGGAAATGATGATAGTTGTTGTTATGGTTACTATAAACTTGTACGTATGATGTTTTTAGTTGTTTTTTAAGTGAACCTATATTTAATCGGATTTAAAAAAAATATGTAGTAAAGATGAAAACTCAAAAACACCATACAATGTATGATACTTATAATATGCATTCCACAATATGAAGCTCAGTTTTGTTCTTTTGATTTGATCTTGTCCAAGGTCACTGAGGGGTGAAATTCTCCGAAACTCAGAGACAGGTGGTGAATCTGATGATGGACTGGCTTTATATTTATTTTTAGTTTATGAACTTACTTTCATAAAGATGTATTGACAAGTTAAGAGATGATAAAAATAGATATATGGTTGATATAAATACAATTATTGTTACAGAAACCTGTCGGTTAAAACAGACATGAATGTTTCCAGGTTATATTAACGTCTGGCAGTGTGTACTTACACATTTACTGCGGGTGTTCTTGCTGTATATAGAATTTTTATGGGTAGTTGCTCACACGTGAGTGTTGTTTTCGTGTTTGTGTACACACACACACACATATATATATATATATATGTATATAGCCCTCCCCAAGATACATCATCATTGTTATGTTCTGCGCCTGAGGTACTTTATTACCTTATGAAAAGCCAAGGTTTTGCAGCTTAAAACGCTAGTATTCAGTGCTAACTCATGTTCTTTTGTTTTTAAAGACATTTAGTGTTTAATGAAGATTTCGATGGCAATAATTGAAATTACTTTTCATCCCAGTTTAATACGTATTAACAGTTATGAAAGAAGAGTGTATAACAGTATGCCAACAGCACTATATTCGCTATATCCAGTACCGATAGGGGGCCTTTCGCCGAATGCCAAGGCTCTCAGGGCAGCTGAAATACAACAGACATAGTAATTGTTGAAACGCTAGTGTGAACTAGATTACGTTAGTGAAGTGTAATGTTAAAGATTTATTATGATATTTACTTCAATTATCTTAGAAGTTAATCGTAGTAAGTTAACTTCTGAGCCCATAGTATCGTGCTACTTCCATATATAATAAGAATATTAACATCAGTAACTAAAGGAACGCCAGAAATGTTAAGTTGAAGAAAGATACTACTACTTATGAAACTAGCGTAACTTGCTGTCTACTCTGTAACACTTACACAACCCTGCGTATAGACAATAATCCTTTAACGAAGATTCACTTAAATTTCCTAATACATAATTAAAATATCCTTTAACAAAGATATAAAATTACAGTAAGACCATACAATATTGATCCACGAAGGTAAAACACTAAACAATGAAATCTTAAATTATTGAAACAAAATACACAACAAAACCCTACGACACGGGTGGGCCAATTGAAAATGTAACTTGAAAATGAAATCACGTAAACTCAACTTTACTGAGAATTCTTTAAAACTAAAACATCCACGGCTTTTTTAGATCTAAAGTGTCTATTCTCGAGCCCACCATAGGGCAAAGAGGCCGGGTATATTTCCCTGGAGCTAACAGTCCACCAGGGGGCCCATAAGAGCGGTAGAAAATGTTCACGAGATGTACGAAATTATTACGGAACGTTTAAGTAAATATTAACTGCACCTTCTATCATTTATGGCCCAGCATGGCCAGGTGGCTAAGGCGCTCGACTGCAATCTGAGGGTCGCGGGTTCGAATCCCCGTCACACCGAACATGCTCGCCCTTTCAGCCGGGGGGGGGGGCGTTACAATGTGTCGGTCAATCCCAATATTCGTTGGTAAAAGAGTAGCCCAAGAGTTGGCGGTGGGTAGTGATGACTAGCTGCCTTCCCTCTAGTCTTACACTACTAAATTAGGGACGGCTAGCGCAGATAGCCCTCGTGTAGTTTTGCACGAAATTCAAAACAAACAAACAAACAATCTGTCATTTATACGTGTGCGCAGCATCATTCCAAAACTATTTGGGAAGGGGGGGGGCACATACCAAATTTTACCTCGAGGCTTATGATGATTCGACGACCTTGGCTACTGCAACCAATAAGCGTGCACTTAACCCTGAACTATTAGGCTGGGGGTGTGTATGACCTCAAGCAATTTTTTATGTTAATAACTGATACTTTTTTGTTTGTATTCCCGTACGTAGGGATGCCTTCGAATACAACACATACTTTGGATTTGGTTTTGATTGTTGTTAAGCGCTAAGCCTTACAATGGGCCTTGCCCACCACGAGTATCGAAACCCGATTTTTAGCGTCATAAGCCTGCAGACTTACCCCTGAGCCACTGGTAGACTTTTTGTGTATGATAAATACTTGAAAAATAAAAACAAATTATAGCTTTTCTGTGTGACCGTATCAAAAATAACCCTAGTATAGTGGTTAAGGGTAACGCTTATATCCTTGTTATCGACATTTATCCTTACTGCAGGTTGAGCTCGCTTAGTGATAAAGCTGTTCGTAATTCACCTTGAAAGTTTAGAAACTGAAAATGTTAGCAAGGTGAAATCACCCAGATATTCTAGACTTATCACAAGGTGAAATCACCTAGAAATTCTAGACTTATCTACAAGATTTATATACGCAGTAGCAAAACGAAGGGATAATGTACCAAGGCCACCGTAAAGTTAATTTATAAAGATGAAGAATTAAAATAATTAATCCTTACAAATAAAACAAAGATAAATATTAGTTATTATTTCAATATTAAAAGAGATGCTAAATTAGAACTCGGTCGAAGCTGGCGTCACCTATTGGAAAGCTGTCGTTGCCATGGTTATGTAAGTAGTTCAAGGTTACTTCATCTTGCTCCACTACGGAGATGTTCTTTATGAGGCGGAAGTAACAATTCCTTCTCCGTTACAGTAAATAGATCGATAAGAGCTTTTGAAAAAACAACAACATAACACACTACCAACAACAAAAAGGAAGTAAAACACCAACTGGGATATGGTTGCAACGAAATGATATATATGAAAACAACAACATATCACACTACCAACAACAAATAGGAAGTAAAACACCAACTGGGATATGGTTGCAACGAAATGATATATATGAAAAAAACAACATAACACACTACCAACAACATAACACACTACCAACAACAAATAGGAAGTAAAACACCAACTGGGATATGGTTGCAACGAAATGATATATATGAAAAATTAATATATTTCATGACGCATAGAAATGTGCATTGGTTTATACTTTTTTTTTATTGGAGGACCAAAGAAACTTAAAATAGTAAATTTGGCTACATGATTATATTTATACTAAGTAAATGTTTTTAAACTATAGATAGATAACGTTTGCCCGAAAAATTGTAATATCAACATTAATATGAGCGCACATCTATTGAAGTGATTTAACAATTAATATTTTTTTTCAATAACATCAACCTATTCCTTAACACTTACATCTACCAACCTAATGGCCAGTGATCTCGAAAATGACGTACGAAATTGACATCTCACATAATTAACATTTTTCTCGGGATCAGAACTATTGTGTTTGACAAATGAAATAATAGTTCATTTTTACAAACCATGATGTCGGTGAAGTGTTCAGTACAAAACGAATACAGACCACAAGAGTCTGAATTTATAGAAAAAAGATTTAATAATATTTATAACAAATCAGCATTGTTACATGTTTGATATTAAGCCATTATATGCAATCAATTTCTTCTGTAGACATAAAACATCAAGCAAGCTTTCGTTAAGGCTGAGATGCCTTATGTCGATGATGACTTGCTATGGTGTCCTGATGCTGATGGCAAGATGGTGGACCTCTCTTGTCTTGTAAGTATGAAACAGCGATAATAGATTTATGTAAATCGAAGAAGCAGTAATTTTAATGTTATAAGGTATCGGTTGGTTTGAACACAGATCTTCTTCAAGTGTTTATGAATATTTATTGAGTTTAAGGAATTTAGAAAGATTGAAAAACAAACTAGGTAGTGTTTACACGACATATATAATTAACATTTCCCACTAGATGGCACTACATTTCATGTGAAGTATAATTCCATGTTTCTATGTACTGTTTTCAAGATCATTATTATGTCTTACACGAGGTAAAGTTGTGACTTCTGAAAAAAAAATTACGAAAATGTTATGATAAATAAATATAGCTAACTGTCATCTAACTGTGAATACAAATACACTAGGCTCAAATGGGTCATAGGTTAATGTAATATTTTGAAATAGTGTAAACACGTTAAAAATTTTATTTCTCAAATTGTTGGCAAGAGGTTTAATAAAGTACAGTCAAAAGAAGAATTAAAAGATAATAACATATTTTATATGTTGATCTAGGAAAGAAAAAGATGTTTGGAAGAATGTTTTCCAACAAAATATATTTAAGGAAAATTTATAGCTGTTTAAGAAAAGTTGAGATGTTATTTGTTTGTTTATATATATTTTGTAATGTTAGGTTACTAAAGACCTGAGTAAATATATCTGTGGTTCATATATAAATGATTAATTAACTTTAAAAAAGTGATCATAAAAAAAGAAATATTTCTCCCTAAGAAGTATTAAAATCAGAGACATGAGTTAAGATCATATTTTATGGCAGTTTAAGTGATAGTCTTAAATAATAATATATACCCGATGTTAAGTTAGTAGAAAGATGTTATTTAACAAAGAACGCCAGTAGAAATGGTAGAACACTTTGTAGGAACCATATCTGGCAGTTAGTATTTTTATCGAAAAATGTACAGGAATATACGTTATTTTATTAGGAATCCAGTGGTTATTTGTAATTGGATAACATCCAAAGAAGTTACGATTGTTTTTTATCAGTAGTGTTGGATAATGTTTTGCACTAATTTAGACAATGGTCATGGCGTTATTGTAGTACATTATCTATGAAACACTCGCCCATCTCGAACATTTTGTGAAACTGTGAGGAACTGTTGGGACAACGAGCCAGAATCTCAGAGTTTTGTTCATGTCTAGATGGAAACGAAGTCGGATTCAAAGCTAACCCGTAAATGTAAAGTAGCAGAACATCCGAGGTGTGACAAGTGTAACAGATGTGGGTGTAAACACGATGGCACACCAGTTGCTCAAAACGTTAGCCATAAGAGAAGTGCTCAAAGAAAAGTAGATCGGCGTACAGTTGAGGTAAAGATATGAATACATTCGACGGCATACCCTCAAATGGGGAAAGAGTGTAGTGATGATTCGGTGTGATGAGAATCTAGACGACGCGGAGGAGGAGAACGATTCAAGATCAGGTAAAGAACGGAGATTACGATGACTTTTTGGAGTGAAATGAAATAATATTACAAGGATAAGAAGAGAGAGAAGTATTAGTGAGTGAAGTGTAAGAATATTACAAGGATAAGAAGAGAGAGAGAAGTATTAGTGAGTGAAGTGTAAGAATATTACAAGGATAAGAAGAGAGAGAAGTGTAAGAATATTACAAGGATAAGAAGAGAGAGAAGTATTAGTGAGTGAAGTGTAAGTA